TCTAATACTTGCGCAGGAATTTCCTTGTTTATATAAGGGCTTGTTCACTTTGATGCCATTTTCAACCTTACCAAATTTTGGTAAAGTTACCAAAAAAGTGGCTACATTTAGTTTGCTGCCAAATTTTGGTAACTATATAAGAAATCCTGCCAAAATTTTGGTAAGTCTATGCCAAAATTTTGGCAATGCCAAATTTTGGTAAGGTTTTTTTTGGCATCAAAGTGAACAGGCCCTAAAGTCCTAGTACTAGAACACTTAGTACGAATACTAAACAATAAACCCGCAAAGATGGAAATCTATCTCATTTGGACTAAATAATTAAATTACATAAGAAAGGATCCCAAATATTAACTTTATAGAAGAAGTTTCTCCGAACCCGGAGTAGAGTGTACCGACAGCTCCTGTACTTCTCCAGAATTCCTCCTAGAAAGCTGCAAAGTCGGAGAGAGTGCCAAACTTTCGGGCACTCCTCTACAGTTTCCCCTCACTCTCTACCTATTTTCTAGTAAGAAGAAGTAACTAAGTCTAGATAGGAAGAAGAGTGTACTCCAAATAGTTGTATTTGTGTGTGTGTGTTGAGAGTGACTTGTGCTCCTTTTATAGGGCCATATGATGGTTGTAATGGCAGTAACTGTCGTGGAACCCGATGTAACCGTCATTGGGGTGCCATCAGGAGCGTATACGTGGAAGCAGATGGCGAGAGGCGCCGATGTCGATTCGGCCAACCTTGGTGTTCGACCGAACTTCTGGGCCGCCTCCTGACCACTCCTTTGGCAGGGGGCTGCCTGGTGGGCTCCCAACATGTTGTACCTTGGTTCGGCACAATTCTAGGTGGTTTTGTTTGACATGTGAGCCATCCAATCTGCGCAATCGCGTCCTGATTGTCCAGAGGTGTATTTTATCGCATGACGGGTGTGTTTTCTTCAGAAAATACCGGCATACACATATTTTACCAACACTAGTGAAAATGATTAGTAATAATCCCTACTACTAAGTTGGATATCATATTTCATTTCATTATATGTAGGCATTGACGGTTCGATATTATGATTTAAGAACCATCAACACATGTGCATGCATGGGAGCGTTCATCAGTGTGCTAGAGTCAACGTGTTCGAGGTCGTTATAGCGCTGAACAAAGTGGTTTGGTGTGGCTCAAATTACAACAATGGCATATTACCTAGTCTAAAGTAATATAGGGGTGGTCCAAATTAAAACTTTGGCAATAAAGCATTAGGGGGTGAAAGCGAATCGGATAATATATATCCAATCCGGTCCGCTTGGAATCCATCCAAAATGAGGATATATATAGTATGGGTTTATAGAAATCTAGCGGATGTGGATAAAGTTTGATGCGGATGTAGTACCTCTAAAATCCGACGGGTGCGGATTATCCAACATTTTTTTATCGGATTATCTGTTAGGCCATTTGCCGGATAATCCGAAATAGTTAACTTGTGTAACCACTCTATCTATTACATACAACATAAGACATCCTATCAAATTGCCTACTTTATTAAATGGAAAGAGTCTGAATTACCCCTAAACTATTGCGTCAATCCAAATCACCCTCTAAACTACAAAACCAGACATTTAACACCCTCAAATCTTCAAACAAGACGAATAAACCCCCTCTGTCAGGTAGAAGGTTCACATGCAAGTAAGGTAAATGACCAAAACTACATAAAGAAGAATATGTCATTAATGTATAAAGTCTTACAGGAGAGGGAAGAGCTACTAGAACCATACCCGAATTCTCCAAAAGACTTGAAGAACTAAAGAGACTATTCTAATTCTAACTCTACTAGCACTAGAACAAAGTACGTAAACTAAGAGAACTTTTTCACTTGAATCCTTCTTGGTGTGTGTTGAAATGGAGGAGGAGATGGCCTTTTATAGCTGCTCAACGATGGTTCGAGCGTCAATACCGGCCACAGCCGTCATTGGGAGGTCAGTTGTAACCGCCTTCAGCTTGGGCCTGGGCCAGCAGAGCCAGGACGGGGTTGGATGACCCCTAGCAGGTCCTCCTAGCCCAATGCTTCCTCCTGGACTTTGTTTAATGGATCCTCCGCCTAGCGGCATGTGGTTGGGCCCATCCATCCATATGTCTGCCACAAGTCGTGCTTTGATTGGTTAAACGATGAATTTCCATCATTTCTCCTCAATTTATAAAGTAATCTCCTGTATATACAAATAATTTGCCAAGTACAAGTGGAATTAGATTATTTCTAAATAAATATGCTTGCAAGAATTGCTAGTTCTCCATTATTTCTGGAAGTATTGATGGTTGAAATTGGTCTATAATGACCGTCAACATGTATTTAATAAAATCCGTTTCTCTTCCGTAGGTCTTATCTATTTAATATCTTGTAGTATCTTTTTTTTACTCTTGCATACTAGTCTTTTGCATGAAAAATCCCAAGTCTACAATCAGGGCATAGCAAAAACAAACAATGACAAACATGCATTGTAACCCATATGATGCCCATGAAATTTTATTGTTGATGATTCCTTTATCGTAATGAAAATATGTGTGCAATTAATGTAGTTTGTGGTTTGTTTAAAGTAAAATAGATTTTATTTGTTAAGCACCAACTTAATTTGCATGATTTGAAAATTAACTTACAGCTCAGAGCCATTAGGCCATGATGTGTTGGCCATAATGTGTTTGTGTAACTTCTTCTACTACCAAAATAAAATATGGTAGAACATTTATTAGGTGCTAAAAGAAAGGAATTTAGAAGTTTTTATTATTTCAGAAAGAGAGATTTGTTTTTAGTTTACCTCATTTCTCGGGATAACTTGGCTAGTTAAACCTCATTTTGAGTTTTTATGAAAAAGGAAAACAAAATTTTAGAATGAAAATGTATTTTGACGCTTCATTGAAGTAAAATTTTGAAATTTGGGTATGTTACAAACAATGTAATAATCTGGCTGGGGGTGAAAACGATACGTAAATTACCTGAATGGACAGATACCGTTTCCACAAAATTAATATAATAATAATAATATTTTTACCGACTATTATGATATATAAAATTTAGTTTTTTAAATTTCTGTCAGTGTCTCTTTAAATTTAACACTAGATAGTTTAAATTCATAAATATGAAAATGTTATGACCGTTTCCACGAAATAATAAAATAATGATATCGTGTCTGACCATTTCCAACTGTTTTACTAATGATCGTTGCTAGTTATGCTAATCAAATCTTCACGCGCATTGCCCCATTGTACATGTGCGCTTCTTTTGCATCAAACCCCAGTAGCATACGTAATTGATTTGCTGCAGCCCACTTGGTTTACACAACTTTGGAAAGAATAAATCAGTAGCATACTTCATCCATCCTAAAATAAATTAATCTCATGCTAGGACGAGAATCTGATATAGTTCTTATCTAATTCATCGTATTATCGTATTATGATATGTCACATCAAAGTACAAGGTTGACTTACTTTGGGAAGCAGAAATTATGTAATTATAGATGTATTAGTCACATAAAAAAATATCTCTCCTTTTACGCGCAAAAAAGGGTGATGCCCGTGAAGGGTTTGATGTGGTGCCATAGAGGTCAGAAGAAAGCGATGAGAGACATATACTCCTCTGTTAAAAGAAAAAATAATGAGTAAATTGCACTTACGGTGCAACAACTTGGCAGATGGGTGTAATTTGGTGCAATAACTTGAAAAATGAACGTTCTAATGCAACATCTTGGTAGGAAGGTGCAATTTAGTATAATAACTTTATAAGTGATCGTATAAATGCAACAACTTGTAAGGTAGGTAGGATTTTGATACAATAAATTAAGAAGTTATGTGACAACTTAATTATTTAGAGCATTTTTTATATAAATTCAAATTTTTAAGTACTTATTTTGACAATATACTAGCATGGATCTATATAAATATATTTATATTTTTATCCTAATAACTAATAACTGAAAGTCAATTAAACTGGATTAAGAAATTATTATATTTCAGTTGATAATTGAGAAGGTGAAGAAAACAAAAAAATTCTTAAAGGTAATTGAATGTAAATTGTATGTGCAACATAATAATTCTTAAAGATTAAATTCATATATAAGGTAATATCCGTATGATCAGTGTGTATTGGCATACTGGCATCGTGAAAAATCTCATCTAGCATATGCTTAGCTAAATTGATTCAATAAAATACTAAATTATTAAGTTCTTGTATTAGAACGCACCCACTTGTCAAGTTGTTGCACTCGGATGTTCAATTCTAAAGTTCTTGCACTATATTGCACCCACCTGCTAAGTTGTTGTATCGTGGGTGCAATTTACTCAAAAATAATCCTGAAGATGTATCACAACGTGCATCTTTAGATATGTCTTTTGGATTAGAAATTTTTTAGAATGGATGAAGTATAAAGGATCTTTTACCGATGGAAAATGTGACGGAAAATGCTTAACCTGGTCTAGGGGGTGTTCTTTCGCGTTCACATAAGTATCGCGAGGTGCTTAAACCGGTTTTACAATTGGCAGACCAAGGGTACTCCAGGCAGCGTCCTCAATCGGAGTCAATTACAATCAAGAGTCAAACACGCCGGTCGTGTCACGTTTATAAACACGAGAATTCCAAACTTGAAATTAACTAGAGGCCGCAACTCCTGGAGGAGCATCGTTTCCGTTGCTATCCTTCTCCCATTTTCCACACGGCATGGACTTGGCCAGCTAGCTTCCGTGTGATCCTGTCCCGCAAAGTTCCCAAAACTAAAATTTTCACGTTGTCACATCGAATGTTTGATACGTGCATTAAGTATTAAATGTAGAAAAAAAATAATTACACAAATTATGTGTAAATTGCGAGACGAATTTTTTAAGTCTAATTGCGCCATGATTTGACAATGTGGTGCTACAGTAAACATTTGCTAATGATGGATTAATTAGGCTTAATAAATTTGACTCGTAGTTTTCTGGCAGAATCTATAATTAGTTTTTGTTATTGGACTACGTTTAATACTTTAAATGTCTGTCCGTATATCCTATGTAAGTACGTAACAACCAAACCCAAAAACTTTCCCCAACTAAACCAGGCCTAAAAACGAATCAGAAAAGGGCAAGGTGACATATCATCCCTCCTGATCAACTCCCAGGCCAGCGCTAGAAACCTCACTCTGCACATACTAGTGTCGAAGCACCTAAAGCTAATGCTTCTACTGCTCCTCTTCGCTCTCACGCTAGGCCATGGGGCCAGATCGGCGGCGCCACTGCCGCGGCGTGGCACATCGCTGCGAGCTCAAGTGGCGGCCCTTCTCCACTGGAAGTCCACCTTGAAGGGCTTCTCACAACACCAGCTGGGAACATGGAGGCACGATATCCACCCGTGCAACTGGACTGGCATCACCTGCGGCGACGTTCCATGGCGCCAGCGACGACATGGAAGAACCACGGCAAGAAATGCCATCACGGGGATCGCCCTCCCGGGTGCCCATCTTGTGGGAGGGCTGGACACCCTGAGCTTCAGGTCCTTCCCTTATCTGGCCAGCCTCGACCTCAGCGACAATGGCCATCTGTCGGGTACGATCCCTCCTGGCATAAGTTCTCTGTTAATGCTTTCCAGTCTCAACCTGTCCAGCAATCAGCTTACCGGAAATATACCTCCATCCATTGGTGACCTTGGGAGGATTTCCTCAATTGATCTGTCGTACAATAATCTGACTGGGGAAATCCCTCCTGCGTTGGGTAACCTTACAAAGCTTACTTATCTTTCTCTCCTTGGCAATAAGCTGTCCGGTAACATCCCATGGCAGCTTGGGAAGCTTCATGACATCTCGTTTATAGATTTGAGCCTCAATCTTCTTGTTGGGCCGATACTTTCTCTATTTGGAAACCTCACAAAACTCACCTCTTTGTTCCTCGTCGGTAATCATCTATCTGGACCTATACCTGACGAGCTAGGTGAAATACAAACGCTTCAATATCTAGATCTGCAGCAAAACAACTTGAACGGCTCAATTACATCCACCTTGGGAAATCTTACAATGCTCAAGATCTTGTACATATATCTGAACCAACATACTGGTACTATCCCTCAAGTGTTTGGGATGCTGTCAAGTTTGGTTGAGTTGGACTTGTCCGAGAACCATTTGACCGGCTCAATTCCCTCAAGTGTTGGAAATCTTACTTCGTCAGTCTACTTTTCTCTTTGGGGTAATCACATAACTGGGTCAATCCCTCAGGAGATTGGAAATCTTGTGAATCTCCAACAGCTCGACCTCTCAGTAAATTTCATAACTGGACCAGTGCCATCAACTATAGGGAACATGTCTTCCCTCAACTATATATTAATAAATAGCAATAATCTCTCTGCACCAATCCCAGAAGAGTTTGGGAATCTGGCAAGTTTGATATCATTTGCATCCTATGAAAACCAATTGTCTGGTCCAATCCCTCCGAGTTTGGGAAAATTGGAGAGCGTGAGCGAAATTCTACTGTTCAGCAACCAGCTATCAGGTCAATTGCCTCCAGCACTCTTCAACCTCACTAATTTAATTGACATCGAATTAGACAAGAACTACTTGGTTGGCCCGTTGCCTGATTTGTGTCGGGGTAAAAAGCTAGAGATTTTACATCTTTCTCATAACAATTTGAATGGTTCGATGCCAAAGACTTTGAGGGATTGCATTTCCCTGCGATCCCTCGGCATTAGCTACAACAAAATGGATGGAGACATAACTGATGCATTAGGAGTGTACCCCCATCTATGGCGGTTACGTTTAGCGTCAAACAAATTGGTTGGCCGGCTTTCACCAAATTTGTGATCATGTCAGAATTTGACAGCACTTAGTTTTGCAGACAATATGATAAAAGGCGGTATACCTTCTGAGCTTGGGAATCTAAAAAATCTTGTAAAGCTCAGTCTGTCCACTAATAGGTTGACTGGGGAGATACCACCTGAAATTGGCAAGTTAGTCAATCTAAATTTGATAGATTTAAGAAACAATCAACTTTCTGGGAAGGTCCCAAATCAAATTGGCCAACTTAAAAGCCTTGAGATTCTTGATTTCTCAAGCAATCAGCTGAGTGGAGCTATACCAGATGACCTTGGTAATTGTTTTAAGCTGCAGTCTTTGAAAATGAGCAACAACAGCTTGAATGGGAGTATACCAAGTACATTGGGCCATTTTCTTTCTCTACAAAGCATGCTTGATCTTAGCCAGAACAATCTTAGTGGACCAATACCATCCGAACTTGGCATGCTCGAGATGCTCATGTATGTAAACTTGTCACACAATCAATTTAGTGGTGCTATCCCTGGCTCAATTGCAAGTATGCAAAGTCTATCAGTGTTTGATGTGTCATACAATGTCCTCGAAGGTCCTATTCCTAGACCGCTCCACAATGCATCGGCAAAATGGTTTGTCCACAACAAAGGTCTTTGTGGAGAACTTGCTGGCCTATCACATTGTTATTTGCCTCCTTACCACAGAAAAACCAGACTAAAGTTGATAGTTGAAGTCAGTGCTCCTGTATTCTTAGCTATTATTTCTATTGTGGCAACTGTTTTTCTTCTTTCAGTTTGCCGAAAAAAACTCTCCCAAGAAAATAATAATGTGGTGAAAAAAAATGATATTTTCTCTGTATGGAGTTTTGATGGTAAAATGGCATTTGATGATATAATTAGCGCAACCGACAATTTTGATGAGAAGCATTGCATTGGAGAGGGAGCATATGGTCGTGTATACAAAGCAGAACTTGAAGATAAGCAAGTGTTTGCGGTGAAGAAACTCCATCCAGATGATGAAGATACTGTACACGATGAAGAGAGATTTCAGATTGAGATTGAAATGTTGGCAAAAATCCGACATCGTAGCATAGTGAAGTTGTATGGATTCTGTTGTCATCCAAGGTACAGGTTTCTCGTTTGTCAATACATAGAGAGAGGAAACCTAGCTTCTATCTTAAATAATGAAGAAGTAGCCATCGAGTTCTATTGGATGAGAAGGACAACCCTCATAAGAGATGTAGCTCAAGCAATTACTTATCTTCATGATTGTCAGCCTCCCATAATTCATCGTGACATTACGAGCGGAAACATCTTACTGGATGTTGATTATAGAGCATATGTCTCGGATTTTGGCATTGCAAGAATTCTAAAACCGGATTCATCAAATTGGAGTGCATTAGCTGGGACCTATGGCTATATAGCACCTGGTATGTGTATACAGTACAGTACAATATTCCATATATACTAAAACTTGTTAACAATATAATATTGCTTTGCACAAACATATATTCCTGACTTTTATATATGTTTCCATGTTGGTTGTAGAATTGTCCTACACCTCCTTAGTCACGGAGAAATGTGACGTATATAGCTTCGGTGTTGTGGTGCTTGAGGTGCTGATGGGCAAACATCCTGGAGATATCCAAAGTTCTATTACTACTTCTAAATATGATGATTTTCTTGATGAAATCTTGGATAAACGTCTTCCAGTACCTGCAGATGATGAAGCAGACGACGTGAATAGGTGTCTCTCCGTGGCGTTTGACTGCCTACTTCCATCGCCGCAAGAGAGGCCAACCATGTGTCAAGTTTATCAACGACTTGCCATCTGAAGTTACCTTGCTTATCTTAAAATCTTTTTTATAATAATGAGAGGCTCCCTTAGGAGCCACCACTCTTAAGGATAACAAATATGTTCATGGACTCTCATGTAAAATAATACTATGTGCAATGCGCCAATGCTAGGTGGGTATTCAACCAGGGTGGTTTCATCCTGTGTGGTATTTGATGCGGCTATCTGGAAATTTTAGTAAACAATACTAAAACATAGAAGTGTGTGTCATACTGATCTGATCACTTCTACTCCGTTCAATATTGTAAGTTGTTTTGATTTTGTTCTGAATCTAACTTCTATAAATCTGACCAAATTTATGGAAATCTGAACCAAGTTAGTTTTATTTTTTTATGGTTAGAAGCAACTTAGTTTGATCCACAATTGAGTATTTGAATACATGGATAGTATATTTGTTTTGTGTTGAAAATATATTGCTATATTTTTCTATAAATTTCATCGAACTTAAAAAAAGTTTGGCCAAGCATAAACATCTTACCATATATTAGAACACATGAAGCTATAGCTTCGTCCTTGTGTCTCATTCTCCATATTTCATTTCTTCTTATCTCCTCAAAATACCTCTTAGAGAATAAACCGAAATTGCTAACGAGCGGACGATCGCCGTCTGTGTACCCACGCGATCAGGTCCTCTTTTTTTTTCTTACCTTTTTCTGTTAGAAATTGCTCCTAATTTTTAAAGCTGTTTTTATCTTTTTTTATTACTATTACCGACTTTCATGGAGCCAAGTTAGCGCTTCTTTTTTTCTTTTTCTTTTTCCTAAGCCCCTTCCTTACATTGTTTCCTTTTTATGGCACCGCATTACTTTTCTATTTTAGTAAATTTATACACCTAAAGTTTGTATACCTCAAGTTTACACATCTAAAGTTTATATATCTAAAGTTTATACACCTAAAGTTTATAGACCCAAAGTTTATAAGTCAAACGTTTATATATCTGATTCAAATTAGAATTTGAATTCAAATATTTTTATATATAGTATTTCTATACATAAAGTTTATATGTGCCCAAAGTTTATAAGTCAAAAGTTTATATATCCGATTCAAATTTGAATTTGAATTCAAATATTTTTTATATATAATATTTTTATGCATAAATTTTATACGTGCTAAGTTTACGGTATAAAGTCTACACATAAGTATGCACATAAATAAGAGTATTAGATTTTTTTTTCTAAATTGTTTTTTTTTAAAAAATTTATGGTGTAGTAGGAAGAGAAGAAGGGAGGAAGGAGAGAGGAGCGTGTTAGGGGAGGGAAAGGGGGGGGGGGGGAGGTGATCGCCCACAGCGATCACCCGCACATTAGCGATCCCCAGAATAAACAATGACAATTAATAGCAGATTGTTGAAGTTGTTAATAAGATAAGTTTACTGACCTGGAAAAGAGAAAGATTGTTGTTACACATAAAAACAAAATCCCAAGTGTCATGGCAAAAAGCTCAAGAATTTCCTTCATCTTAACCATCTCTCATATAACAATTACTTAGATGAATAAGGTTTCCTAAAATAAATGGCCGTTCACAAGTGACAAGCATAGTCAAGAATAAAATGTGACAAGGAAAATTTAATTAGTTGAGAGTTTATCATTTTCACTTTTAGCTTTGAGTTGATTTTTCAGTCAACATCTGCTCATATACTGATAAAAATGGGAAAGAATGAGGAAGTGGACGTGCAAACCTTCTCACTAGACAAAATTGGGGGGTATTTGGGGCCAGTTTGGGTTCGACCAAACCCCTCTGACGTCCAAATACTCTGCAATTTTCAGTGAAGTTCAGAAATCGTCAGACATTCAGAAATATGATGTGTTTTTAGAGTTTGCACGTCAGGAGTCCGAAGTATCTCCCCCACACTTATTTTGAACCTAGACTTTATTAAACACAATATGGAAATAAAAAAGCTTCCGTTGGATTAACTACCAACGAACCGCTTTATTCAATCAAAATGATATAGGTGCTGATTACATTGGAATGAAATAAATGAAATGAAATAAAACTAAAGCACCTAACTTATTAAAATGAGAGGGGAAGGCCTCTAATTGGCATAATAACGGTCTTCTTTCCCCATCTCCTTGAATGCACGCTTAATCTTAGCACATAATCCACGACTAAGGCTCTGTTCGGCCCCGGCACGTAAAACGAAGCAGCGTTTTAGCACGTGATTAATTAAGTTTTAGCTATTTTTTTTTAAAAATGAATTAATATAATTTTTTTAAGCAACTTTCGTATAGAAACTTTTTTGCAAAAAACGCACCGTTTAGCAGTTTGAAAAGCGTGCGCGCGAAAAACGAGGAGTTGGGAACTTGTACTACCGAACGGAGCCTAAGCACATCAAATTCGTGCCCAAGATTAGCAATTTCTTCCCTACATTCCGCATCGTGGGTTCGAAGCTCCTTGTTCTCTTTGCGGAGTTTCTTGATCTTCTTTGCAAGTTTCGATATGGAGGGTTGGGGAGAGTCACTCCCCTCAAATTTCCCGGCCTCCCTCCTAATGGGAGGTGGAGACAATTGACGCCTAACCTTGTAAGGTGAGGAATCAACCGACTCTACCACCTCTTCCTTCTCATGAGTTGTTAAGGACCGGTGTAGCCCCTTCCCATAGCCACCACCGGGGGTTCGCACACCAAAAACGCGGAACCTCTTTTGCGTTGTCACCGGAGTGGGATGGGGGCTTGGTACTGGTGGAATACCACATCCCTTGCCTTGGTCTCAAGATTACCAACATAGCATTCATCGGCGGGAGATGCAGCCTTCTCCTACTCTTGAAAAAGCCATCGCGCCATCTTTAATGGCCCCAATTCGCCTGATGTAGGCCTCTGTACAGGGGAAACACCCTGTACTTCGGTCAGCGCGTTGCGGTGAGGCGAGAGGGGACAAGCGGCCGAATAGGGGGGCTGATCGAGGCTGGGTTCGGCCGAACTGGCGGCAACACCGATCGGCCTCTTGCTTGCTGAGTCAGCTGGGATAGTCTCCAAGGGGTCCATGAAGATTGCGTTTGCCTCCTCCAGCGCCATATCGTTCACTGGCACCAATTGGTTTGCCGAACAGGGCTCACCATTAAGATCAAACTTGTTTGAACGAGTGGCACCGTAGGGGATCAAGGATTTCCTAGCCATTGGGTGATTTTGGTCGTGGATTGGAGTTTGGAATGAGTGGAGTTAAGTTGAGGGAAGAAATGGATTAAATGTGGAGGAGCTGGAGAGGAAGGAGAGGAATTTAAGTAGCTCAGATTGATCTAACGCCCGAATCGCATGAACGACCAAGTTTCTAACGGGCAATTAAGCGGGGAGATATAACTTTCAAATATGGGGGCGATCGGGTGCCGCCATGGTTCGGCCGAACCACTGGTGGGCTCGGTCGGCCTCCAAAATTTTCACATGTCTAACTTAAGCTAATTCAAATAGGAAAACTCACAATTTTATAGAATTAAGCAACTTTTAGATGAGATCATTATGGTTCAAAATCAATTAATTTAATCACATCCACTTCTTCATCTAAATTTTCATTCGGCTCAAGGAAAATCTTTAAACGTTGGCCGTTTACCTTGAAGATGTTACCTGAGTTGTTACGAAATGTGATTGCTCCGTGTGACGAGGTGTTGATAATGTCAAACGGCCCTTCCCATTTGCTTCGTAACTTCCCATGCCCGAATAGCTTAACTCTGGAATTAAACATCAGTACCTTATCTCCTGTCTTGAATTTCTTGATCTTGATCCGCTTATCGTGCCAGCGTTTTGTTCTTTCCTTGTAAATCTTGGAGTTGTGATATGCTTTATCCCTCCATTCTTCCAACTCTAATATCTGTATCTTTCTCCACTCTTCGGCTCCCTCAAAATCCATATTCCAGTTCTGGATTGCCCAGTATGTCTGGTGTTCAAGTTCTATAGGGAGTCAGCATGACTTCCCGTAGACTATCTAATACAGGGACATTCCAATTGGTGTCTTATGGGCTGTTCGGTATGCCCATAGAGCGTCGAGTAACTTGTCCTTCCATCATGTTCCCATTTTGTGGATCGTGTTTTACAGAATGTTCTTGATCTGTTTGTTCAATGTTTCTGCTTGTCCACTTGTTTCAGGATGGTAGGGTGTGGCAACATTCTGTTTGGTGCCCATCTCACGCAAGAGGTCTTGGAAGGTTTTATCGATGAAGTGTGATCCCCCATCACTTATGACCATTCTTGGGGTACCAAAGCGGGGGAAGATGATTTCCGAGAACATCTTCTTAGCATGTTTGGCATCTGCAGCCCTACACGGCATTGCTACTATCTATTTGGACACGCAGCCGACTACCACTAGGATATCCTCTAGTTGTTGTTGACGGTCATTATAGACCAATTTCGATGGTCAATGTAACTAAAATAAAGAAGAACTAGCTATACTTGCAATGCATATTTGTTTTAGAATAATCTATTTCCACTTGTACTTGGATTCTATTTGATTTCAGAGATTGCTACATAAAGAGAAGGAGAGTAGACGGAAAACAAATGAAGAATCAATCGGAGTCCGTCAAGTGTAGACTTATGGGTGAATGGGCCTATAAATCCAAAGAAATGAACTAAAAGGTCCCAAAACACCTTACCACTGGATTGAGGAACCATTGGAGAGGACGCCTGCCAAAAATTGGGCTGTTTGGGCTAGGCCAGGGTTCGGCCGAACCCCCATCATGGCCGTTCATCCTGTGGTTTGGCGTGGACATCCAGGATTCACTCCAAATGACAGTTGGAGGGTGTTTTCGACCTTTCCAACTATCATAATCATCATTACAAGGCTATATAAAGGGGTCACCTTCTCCACTCTTTCCCACACTCAAGAAAGAAGCACTTGATCTCTCTCTCAAGTTTAGTTTAGTACTCTAGTGCTAGTGGAGTAGAATAGAATAGTTTTCTTAGTCCTCAAATCTTCAGGATATTTCGGGTATCTAGCAGCTTTCCTCCCTTCTTTTGTAAGACTTATCGAATTAATAGAATATTCTTCTTTATATATCTTCGGTACTTTACTTCATTAGAGTACCGGCTTTATTTTATATTTGTCTCGATATAGTTGTGTGACTAGCTTACCAGAGAGGTGCAATGTTGTGGGTTTAATGTTAATGTGAATGATTGCTCTATGTCATTCTAGAGGATATACAGTAATATTTAATAATGTAAGCGTGGTGATTAGATTTTTAAGTATCATTATTTGGGCATATATGCTGCGGGACAGTAGAGGTAGGCAGCTGATGGTGACAGCTCGGATGCCCTAAAGAAGGCGAACGCGGAGAATAAATCCCTGGTGGGAGAAAATAAATCTCTCCGTGCCAACTTGGAGAAGGCGAATCAGAGGGATGCTGAACAGG